GGCTGTGATGTCTGTTTATGCCCCAGTTGACTACTCAGAACGTACAAACTTCCTAGCCAACCTCCCAGCTTGCGTTCCAGACGTAGAGAACCTAATTATCGCTGGAGACTGGAATACAATCTTCAACCCTGACCTAGATTCTCTACACCCCTCCGCAATAAGATCAGACACAGTCATGCTGTCATCCTTCCTTGAATCTCAAAGCCTGATCGACGTCTATAGAACCCTGAACCCGGATAGTCCGGGATTTACCTGGTATGGACCCAGACCCACCCCGAAAACACCCCAACCTAGGAAGAGACTGGATTTCTTCCTAGCAAGGGGAGCAGTCTGGGATAGGTGTATGTGGTGTGATTTCATGGTCTCTTCCATATCGGACCACTATTCGGTATGTATGGATGTTCTAGCCAAAGATATATTTGACAAAGCCCGTCCCCCATTCAAACTAAATGTGAATCTACTGAAGGACAAGGGGATCACGGATTGGGTTGACTCCCAAATGAAAATGTGGAACACGGCAAAAAACCTCTTCGATCATGAGCACTCGTGGGCTGAGGTCGGCTTGGGGATCATCACTTCCGCCTTAGAAACCTTCTCGAGAATGAAAGCAGCTAACATGAACTGGAAAGAAAAATCCACAATCAAGGCCATAGAAGAAGCAGAAAGTAAAATGGGTTTAGATCCATTCGCTGATTATTATTGGTCATAGATACGCAATAAAAATCTGGCCTTACTTGATCAACTAGAATCACAGCGCCAAGCCGAATGGCTAGAATGACTTAAACTACGAGGCCTGGTTGGATACGACAGAATGACTAGGATCACATTCAGATCACTAATCCTAAAACAGACAAAACCAGTATTAAGGGAACTAACCCACCCTTTTAGCCTAGAGATGGAACCAGCCAACGATACGACCACAATGTGTAACTATGCCAAGGAATACTTCCAAGACATAGTTTCAACTAGAAGACCTTATGATTCCACCTCCACTGATTTATCCGAAAGGTCAAAATTTTGGGAAGGCCTTAATACCAGACTGCCGAGATCGGCTATAGAAGCTCTAGACAAACCCTTCTCTTCACAGGAACTCCTATCTGCAGCCAAGCAAATGGCCACAGGTAAGTGCCCTGGTATAGATGGGCTTCCAGTAGAACTGTTTTTAACCTCCTGGGAGGCCTTTGGCCCTTTCCTTTGCCAGATATTCAACTCTACACTTACTTCGGGCTCCCTCCCCAAACGCTGGCTTACAGGAGTTATTTCCCTGCTTTACAAGAAGGGTGATAAAAAGGAGGTGCGCAACTACCAACCTATCTCTGTACTTAATGTTGCCTACAAAATTTTGGCTAAGGCATTGACCATTCGCCTCTCTTCCTTCCTCCCAAATCTGGTGGGCCCGGAACAAGGGGCCTTCGTTAAAGGAAGGTCCATCTTCGACAACATCATATCCACCGTGGAGGCCCTAGAGATCATTGGCTCTGAACAAAAGAATATCGCAATCCTGCTCCTGGATATGGAAAAGGCTTACGACAAAGTGGGTTGGTCCTTTGTATTTACCACCCTCTCTCATATGGGATTCGGCAAGGGCTTCTGCACTTGGGTTAACGCCATGTATTCGGGTGCTTCCTCGGTGGTTATGGTTAATGGAAAACTTTCTGAGGAATTCCCTCTCACCCGATCGCTGAGACAGGGGTGCCCCCTTGCCCCCCTTCTCTTCGTGGTACAACTAGAGGTCCTTCTACATAATATCAGGTGCAACGATCGTATCGTGGGTCTCCGCCTTCCCCCATCCATTCATTGGAAAGGGGGAGCACTAGCAGACGACCTCACCGTAGCCTGCGCTAATGAAAAAGAATCTCTGGAGGAACTAAGAACAACTCTTGACACTTACTGCGACCTGTCGGAAGCATCCATTAACTGGAACAAGTCTGTGTTCTTGCTTCCACCACAGTTCTCTCTCTGTGCAGATTGGGGTCTGAAACACATTCCAGCCAACAGCTCAGATCGTTTCCTGGGAGTGCAAGTCTCCCTAACAGACTGTTCAAAAGCCCAGGATGCGCTACTTCAGGAGAGAGTCACAGCCCAAAATTCTGAGCTGGGTACGTAACCACCAACTCTCACTCTTAGGGAGAGCGCTAGTCCTCTCTGCAGCTGCTTTCTCCATCCTATGGTTTCCGCTAAGCATACACCTTCTAGGTGATGAGGCTTACACCGTAGTCCGTAGGGTAGCCAGCCGCTACCTGTGGAAACCCACAACCACCGAACACCCAGGCTACATCACTAAGGTAGCCTGGGAGACGGTAGCCAATCAGAGGGACCAAGGGGGCCTGGGCATCCTGGACCCAAAGCATCAAAACTTATCCCTCCTGGTCAAATGGCCAATCCTGGCAATGTTCGGGTCATCCGATAAGGTCTGGCTAGAACTGGCGGAATATATCCTAACGAAAGAATGGAACCTCTCACACAAGGACCACGTTTGGCTGTGCTTCCTCATTGACTCGTTCTGCTTCCGCAGACCAAAATCAAGAATTTGGAGGGGCATACTGTTTGCCTGGAACAAACTCAGACCGCAAATGATAGCAGAACCAACTTCCAAACTCGAAATTCTAAATCAGATACTCTTTGAGAACAAATACATCCAACAGCTTGACTCCTCCCTACTATTAGCCGACGACAGCCCTGAGTCCTTTGGAAGATATTGGGTAGAAAAAGGAGTAATACAAGTGAGGGATATCTGGGACGACCAAAAGGGAGATTGGATCACACCGGATGAAGTCCGTCTAAAATTGCCCAGGATTCACAACGTAACAGATAACTTTAATAAAATAAAATCCGCTATCCCTTCCCATTGGGTGAATGCCTTAAAAGATAGCAGTGAATACAATCCAGGAACATGGCTTCAAGACCCGTACGAGGACAGGATTCTCTGGAAGGTGGTGGGTCCAGATCTACGGGCGGGCACAAGAGCTCAGAAATGGTCTCAGCAGGCTTTGGGGAACAGTCACAATTCTCTAAAGTTTGAAGAGGAAACAGTAATTCCTTCCATGAGGGATTGGAGGGAAGCCCGGGTCAGAGAGCTGAAGACAAAGAAAAGATCTTCTTATCAGGTGTTCTCTCTGCAGCCGGAACGATTGAAGGTGGAACCCCTACTTTATGGCTGGGAGCTCCTACAACCCTCCCAAGAAATTATCCCCATTTTATGTTACAAACCCAAGGTGGGCGTTCGGGTACTGCAGAGCAGGGTGAAGAAACTCCCAATCGTAACAGCGATGAAAAGGCTCACAGATCTTCAAGCTTCAGCAGTAACAGAAAAAGACCTATTCAAACTGTGGAAAGCCCTGAAAAGACTACCTTCTCAACGCCAAGCAGCCATTCAGTGGCTACAGTCCCTCCAAGTTACACCCACGTCCAACTGGCTGATAGCAAGAGGCATGCAAGTCCCCTCCCTGTGTGCGAGATGCAAGTGGGGATGGGAATCTGCCTCACACCTCTGGTTGGTGTGTCCCCTCTCAAATCGAGTCTGGGAGTGGTGGAAGGAGAAATGGAAAGGACCGCTTCAACAGCAATTGGAGTGGACAGAGGACTTCATATTGTACGGCAGAAGTCCTACTGAGAACAACTTCTAATCGGGCCAGGCTTACAGAGCTCTTGTCAGCAGAGGCTTGATCATGGAGGGCATTTGGACTTCACGCAATGCCTGCGTTTTCAAGGGAGAATCTCACCACGTTTGTCAAACTATAAACTCATTTAAGAGGAGCCTGAGAAGGACAATTTATGCGGATTGGAGGCGAAAAGACAGGATATGGTTCAGGAATACCTGGTCCAATTCATGCTCCTTCGCCGCTACTACTACAGAAGGGAAACTCCAATTTCCACGATGGCTGTTATCCATGAGAGCTGGGTTTTGAGACTGACTCTACTTATCTCCCTTACTCTGGTTTCATCCTTTATTGCTCCTGCCTAAGTTTTGTAGATTTGGGACACTGGACCCCGTTTCCAGCATGAAAGCTTTTGGCTTTGAAGGCCCTATCTTGGCAGTCAGACTCTTAGACTCTTACTCCAGATAGGACTCCTAGCATTCAGACTAGAAAATCACTATTTTCAGACAGCCCAAGGGCTGAGAGGTCTGTTGCATAGGAATTGGTTCTTTTCGTTGTGTCATGATGAAGAGGAGTACAGCCCTCTTGGTTTTCTGCTCCTTTGGGTCTTTCATTCCTAGAGGGTTCCACTTTCCGGGTAGACTGTGAGGACCCCGGCCTCTGCTTCTTTTGAGAAATATAAGCCTTGGGCACTGGGCCCTTTTTCAGAAAAAAATAAAAATAAAAAATAAAATAAAAAAATAAAATAAAAAAGTAAAATAAAAAAATAAAATAAAAACAAACTCTTTTCTATCCTATCCCCTTGCTAGTGGCACCATCGCCCTGGAATCGAACATGGGCCGGTATTTCAACAGTTCAAGGGTGTACCAACTGAGCTAAGGCCCGTTGTTCTGACACAACGCACCCTTGTTTTCGCTGCACAGGGCCCGAAAACACTCGTTCTGAGCGTGCGTTGTGCTCGGGGGAAGCCTGTAGGAGACTGCTGTGCTGAGGTAGGGAACGAAGGGCCATATGGGCTGTCCGAAATGGATCACTGATGGGCGGTATCATGGGCCTGGCCTACACACGAAGCCCGTCGAAGGCCACCAGAACACGCGGCAGTTTGGATTGATTGATTTGAATCTGGTCCAGATATCTGTTGGGCTACTTTTGACGACCGAGGGAGAAGTGAGCGGTCTTTTGGCCATGCTTGGGACAGGGGACCCGCCAAAGTGAAAAGTCACCAGAGGAAACCGTCCGTACATCCGTACGTCGTAGTAGTCAGCTATCAGTGAATTATTACAACTACGGTAGGAGATGAAATGACATGCTAAGTGCTTTGTTCCTGCGAATCAAATGCACCGAAATCACACACCACTATATCCGCCTAGCGGGCCGTCGATGCGACAAGCTACGGTCGTATCAACGGCCATAGCTTTGTCAATTTCGATTGTTCCCAGTGCACTCGCGAGGCTTATTGTTCATTGCTGATGTTTGGCAGAGAGTGCTCAAACACATACCCACGACCTTACACGACGGTCACTGTTCCCCTGCATTACAATTGCACGCTTCTGCATCATCGCTTCCTCTGTACAACGTATCTCGGTCCATGGACTGTCAGAACTGCATATTTCTCATGCACTAGAACGATTGCTCTGTGCGTGTGTGTGTGTGTGTGCGAGAGAGAGAGAGAGAGAGAGAGAGAGAGAGAGAGAGAGAGAGAGAGAGAGAGAGAGAGAGAGAGAGAGAGAGGTGCTTGTTGGTCAAAGTGCCCGAGAGCCATCGGTAATGGCCGCGATAGTTCGGACACCGGCGTTGGTGGCGACCCTACAGGCACAACGGCTGGTTGAACGAAGTCAGGTCGGGACCAGACTCCCTCGTCCTGACGAGATCTGCGCCAATTCCATTCGTGCGAGTGATTTACCCTGGGGTCAGTGCGACCAGCCTTCTTCAGAGGGACGGAGAAGGACACCTGTATCTTCTTCTTCTTCTACCAATGCTGCCTCCTCGTCTTGGCAAGATGTGCAGGATGACACAGGAAGAAGAAAGCGCATTATGGCGGGAAGAACGAAGAGCATCATGGCGGGAGGTAGCAGGAGGAGAAGTAGAAAGAGCACCGTGGTGGGACGGAGTAGCGCCATCGCCGGCAGCTGCTTCATGACAGAGGGGGATCGTGACGGCGTGTCCATCCCCCTTGACAGGCAATGGAATCGATTAACTGAAGTGGGCACAGAGACGAAAAATGGCGGGAGGAGTTTTGCGCGGGAAAAGTTGATCTTGGCGGGAATGCTTGGCGGGAGAGGTCGCCATTTGATGACATCGTTTGCCTTGTCTGACCGCCACGTGGCGCGCTTCCTCACATTGGCTTCTGATTGGCCGAGCTGCAGAAGGGAAAACGACAAATCTGCTGACCTGGGGATCATCGCGAGAAGCGGGAGGAGTCGCAAATCTGTCTTTGTTTCTGGTAACCTGTCAGAGTGTGCGGCACTTACGACGACCGCGAACGAGGCGGCGGTGTCACACAATGCGGCCGAAATCGCCGCTGAATCTTCCTCCTCCCACGGCGCTGCTATCTACCCCGATCCCGATCTCTATGCCACATCGGCCGTTAGCAGTGAGCGAGAAGTGGGCAAACACGTGTGCTTGTTTTACTGTGACGAGACGAAGGATTTGGCACAGAAGATAGCAGCAGAAAACGACAAAATCGAGCTGCAGACAGTCCAGTGGGGGTGAGTCACGTGTACGCCAACCTTTCATTTTCACGTTCTTATGTTCGTATGCCATTCAACTGGAAGGAGCAACATGAAATCTCCCCTTCACAGAGAGAGGAAAACTATGCTTGCAGGGGTCCCCTCTCGATAGTCTTAGGAGTAGGTAGTGGAAGGCAAACAAAAACAGAAGTTGAGAGAAGAATATAGACAGGAAAAA